TTTTAATTTTTTAATTTTAATTTTAATTTTTAAATATAAATTAAATTCTAATTTTTTTCAAAATTAAAATTAATATACACTAACCTCTCTATTTTTCCCATGGAAAGGAGTAAGGGTGAGCATGGGTAGATATGGGTAAGGTATTGGCCATACCTGTACTTGACTTGAACAGTAACAAGTACAAGATTTTGATATTCAATATTTATTTGGGTATTGAAAATTTATATCCATTACCTAACTTGCTAGGTATAGGTATACCCACATGTATACTTGTATATTTGTTAAATTTTACACTAAAAATACATAAATTAATATACAACTACAAGTTCATATATATAATACATGTTTATATATATAACAAAATACATAAGTATATATACTCACACATATACAAGTATATATACAATAATAAAAGAAATATAAACAAAAATCCACGTGATTTTCCTTCAATTGAATTTTCACTGCCAGAAGAAAAGAAAAGAAAAGAAAAACACAAACATTTTGATTTCATAACATTATATGACAAATTAAGTATATAAAACTAAAATATAAGTTAGGCATATGAGTCAGATATACAGGTCAGGTATATGAGTTAAGTATACACATCAGGTATACAAATATTCACCCTCATACCTAAAACTTACTCAATACTTAGCAACTATGCATTTTTTATACTCAGTACTTACTTGTTTCTTTACAAGTACAAGTAAAATATCTACCCAAATAAGTCAGGTACCCACATATATCAGATATACCCGTATTCGATGCTCAGCCCTAGAAAGGAGTTAGGTTCTGGACTTGGCCCACTTGCACATACAGTGGAAGGACCCTCTCTAGTTCTCTACCCAAACCAAGAGATGTGGAGAATGGAGATCCACCACCCACGTCCGACGCAAAATACAGGCTGGAGATGTTCATGGGCTAAGCGGCCCAAATATCTTTCTCGGCACACGCGACCCAAATATCTTACAATCATTTTTATTTTTGGTTTACAGTTTTCATTTTTTTTTTTTTGACGCAGCTGTTTTGCATTTTCTGTGGGTGCGGATTACATATTTCATAATTATTTACATATGAGAGACTAATTTAATATTAAAAATTTTATTTTTCATTAATTATTATAAAATAGATAATCAAGCATAAAATAGACTGTATCATTATTTTTCTAATATTATATAACATATATAAATATGCATTCACACATGCAAGTTATAATTTATTTATTTCATGTATCTTCCACTCCATGGCTGCGAGTTGACTCAAGGATGTTGGGGTAGTTTGAAATGGATAGCCTAAAAGCCAATTCCACTCTACAATATGGTGAAGTAGGCAAGTAATAGCTCACCAACCAACAGACCCCAAGAAAACTTGCATCCAATATATGAAAGTACTCTATAAATCTTTCGACTTTGAAAAAGAAAATTAATAAAACACATAACAAAAAGAAAATAATGCAATTTGCAGAATGAAAATTTGGAGTCGTATTTAGTTTTTTCCTTTTCTATATTGAGCTAATAATTCTTAAAAAGTTAGCTAATAATTTAATTAGTTTAACAATAATATCTTTTTAATAAAAAGTAAAATATCCTAAATTGAAGTTTAACTATATGAGTAGAATGAAAAAAAAAATTTCCCTTTATATAACTCAATAAAAGACTAAAAAAATTCTCAAGAAATTATTTATTTTTGCTGTTAGAAAAGATAAGGGTGCCACATTACTTGAGGTACTCCTAAGTAATTGTTGTATTTATTTATTGTAAATGTTTAAATCTTTTAACTTCAACCTCATAATTAAATTAAAATTTTTGTAGATTACTATAATATTTTTAGAAATATGTTTGGTTTGAAAGGAATAGGAGGTAGGGAGGGAAAGGAAAGATTTTTTGATTAATTAAATTTTTGATCAATTAAAAGGTGCTAAAGTGTTTTAAAAAATTGACTTAAGGTCAAGACATTATCAATTGAGAATTAAGGATAAAGACATCATTAAGAGAACATTTAGAACTAGACATAGACATTTTAAGTTCCTTGTTATACCCTTTGGGTTAATAAATGCTCCAGCAGCATCTTTGGATCCCATACACAGAGTATTAGTACCATATCTAAATAAATTTGTTATAGTCTTTATAGATGAGATCCTAATATATTCTCTAGCTAAGCAAAGTCACGAAAAACATTTAGCCTTTTTTGGCAATGGCTAAGGGAAAAAGAACAATATGCAAAATCAGATAAATGTGATTTCTGGTTAACTCAAATAGGTTTCTTAGTGCATACAGTTAATAGTGAGGGAATTTCTATTGACCCTCCCTATTAAGATTAAGGCTATATTGCATTGGAAGATACCCACTAATGTTTCTGAAGTTAGGAGTTTTCTAGGGTTAGCTAGTTACTACAGAAGGTTTGTTAAAGTATATTCCAAAATTTCTAGACCATTAACACAGCTAACCAAAAAGATTATAAGTTTGTTTGGGATACCAAATGTGAGGCAAGTTTTCAAGAGCTTAAGCATAGACTAGTGTCAACACCCATTTTTGCCTTACCTAGTAGAAAGGGGAAGTTTTTTGTTTATAAAGATGCTTCACTTAGAGGTTTGGCAGTGTGTGTTAATGTAGCAAGGAAAAGTAATTGCTTATGGAAGTAGACAATTGAAATTTTGTGAAAGGAATTAGCCAGTTCATGATTTAGAACTGGCAGCAATTGTTTTTGCACTCAAACTTTGGAGGCATTACCTTTATGGGGAAGAGTTTGAGATATTTACAAAACACAAAACCTAAATTATCTCTTCTCCCCAAAAAAGGTTAAATTTCAGGCAGGGAAGATGGGTTGAGTATTTAAATGATTACAGTTGTAGATGTACCAATCTGGAAAAGTAAATGTGGTGACAGATGTTTATAAAATCTATTTCCATGGTTGCAATGTTCATTAAGAGTGGGAGTTGTTGGAAGGTTTAGAAATTTGAAAATTCAAATTACTAACCAACAGCCTGGGGTGTTGGTAGCTAGCATCAGTCTACAACCAGAATTATTTATGAAGATTAGAGAAACTCAACAAAAAGATTCCTTGTTACAAAGTGGATTAGTGGTGAGCAAAAGAAAAAAAAAAAAATTGAGCTGTAGATTTCATTTGATGGGATGAATAGAATGGGAAGTAAACTGTACATTTATGATGATATTGCGTTGAAAAAGGAATTGCTGCAAGAAGAAACACATAAGTCTATTATATATGTAAACCATTCATTCTGGTTGTACAAAAATGTACAACAACTTGAGAGGGAATTATTGGTGGCATGTAATGAAAATAGATGTTGTTGATTATGTAGCAAGATGTCTAACTTGTTAGTTAGTAAAGACAGAACACCAAAAGCCTGGTGGAGTGCTATAGCCTTTGCCCATATTAGAATGGAAGTGGGAAGATGTGACAATGGACTTTGTATTTGGACTACCTAAGACTAAGAGGTAGTCCATCATAATTTGGGTAATTGCGGACAGACTTACAAAATTTGCATATTTTATTCCAGTTTAAAGAAGCATGATTTGAACCAGTTAGATGTACTTTACGTCCAAGAAAAAGTTAGGATTCATGATGTACTTGTTAGAATCATTTCAAACAAGGACAAGAAGTTAACATCTAGATTCTGGAGGGGTTTACAAGAAGCCCTTGGTATTGAGTTAAGAATGAGTATATTGCCTCTCATCCACAAAGTGACGAGCAATTAGAAAGGACCATACAAGTCTGTAGGTCCGTGGGACATATGTTTAGAGCTTCTGCACTAGACATGCTAGACAATTTGGGGGAACACTTATACCTAGTGGAGTTTTCGTACAATAATAGCTACATGACAGCATAGGAATGACTCCATTTGAAACTCTGTATATGTGAGGAGATGTAGAACACCTCTATGTTGGTCTGAAGTTGGTGAGAGGAGGAAGATTGGACCAGAAATAGTACAAAGAACAACAGAGGAGATTAAATTAATTAATTTAGAAAAGATTGAGGGCAATACAGGATATGCAAAAGAAATATGTTAAGAGTTAGAAGAAGACCCTTGGAATTTCAAGTTGGGGAAATAGTCTTCTTAAAAGATTCAACTATAAAAGGGGTGAGCAGGTTTGGTTTGAGGAGGAAATTGATTGAGTCGAAGGTATATTGTACCCTTTGAGATTCTGAAGAAAGTAGATGAAGTGGCAAAACAAACTTGCATTCCACCAAACCTCTCTAGAATTCACAAAGTATTTCGTGTTTCTCAACTTCTGTTCTTAATTGTCTGATTTCTAAAGTTTTAGGTAGTTAAGCAAAAACCAGAAATTTGATTTGTAGGTGGCATGGTAATTTTGAGAAACTTTACCAGATTTGGCATGTGAACTCAAGAACTCAGTTTTCCTTCTTCATTTTTCTGGTGACCAGAAAGGAAGAAGGGGAAAGAAGTAAATTTTATAGCCCAGAATCAGGAACAAAGTTAGCAAGGTTTTGCGAGGAGTTTTTGCAAGCTAAGGCTACATTAAGGTAAGTTTTAGTGGCTAGTTAACTCATTAGACTTAAGAAAACTGGAACTTTATGTTGCACTAAACCGCAAAAAAGTTTAAATGCAGAATTTAGAGACGTGCAATAGTATTTATCTGCATGCAAGATAGAAACGAAACTTACCTTTGATTTTTTTTATAACCCTTTGTTTGCCTGTGCTGGAACCTCGAGAAAGATGATTTTCTGGTTGAAAATCTGCAAGAAGTGAAACTATGAAGCTATATTAGCTGTACAGTTACTTTATCTTGCTTATTTGTAGAATTTGTGAACTTAACTCTTTTTATTTTATTTTATTTTTTTAACAATATTGTAAGGATTGAATTCCAACTGTTATTCGAAAAAGAGAAATCCAGTTAAACATGATTTGACGTCACTAAATCTGAAAGCCTAAGTGCCTTGACCCTTTTTACTTGATTGAATAACTAAATGAGAATTTGCTTTGAGTTGGACTTTTCCTTAGAGAAAAAGTTATCTTCCTGAGTTGAATTTTTTTTTTTTGTTTAATGTCTTTATGCTATGAATTTTAATTGTGTATTATTTGAATTTTTATGTCCCATTTGTTATTTAATTTTATTAGATTTCTTATAATTAAATTATTTTGCAGTTGCCTCAAATTTTTTAAAATTTCTATTATACAACTATAAATTTAATATTTAAAAAAAAAAAAAAAAAACTGAAATGTAATGAGTAAAAAATTACCTATTACCTTGTAAATTACCCATCATCCATCTGTAGAGGGTAGGGTAAGCGTAAACTTTTATGGAGGTAAAGGGCCGGATAAACATAAAAGATTATCCAAAGGGTGTGGGTGACGATAAAGGACACACCTCCGAACTTAAATAAATTATCTGTTATCCAATACATTACCCAGCCCATTGTCATTCCTAATTTAGCTATAAAAGCTATAAAAGTTAAATGAAAGTCAGGCTTTAGTTGACAATGCTTCATATCTTGGTATAAAAATATAAAATATAAAATTTTAATTAATTTTAATATATTTTTATTAATTTTTAGTTAATACTTTATATATTTTGTGAATAGTATAAGATTAGAAAAAAAACATAAAGTTGTAATCTGACATCATACAATATTAATAAACGAAAATTTAGTAAAAGCAGTGCCTCTACATATATTAGCCTTATGCATTCAAAATAAATAAATTTTTTTAGATATACTAAACCTAATTTGTAAGATGACTCTTTTTTTATCTATAGATGGACTTGATTAAGTAATTGTGTGATAAAACATTAAACTGAATATTTGTCAACTTTATGTTGCACTTACATTAAGTCAAACATAAATCAAATTATACAATATAGTTAGTTGAAAGAAGAGAAAGTACCTAATTAAATTTTTAGCAAATTCTCCAAACGACTCAAAATGAAGAGAGAGAATGTGCTTCGCTTCACAGATATGCATGTACAGGTAGAAACAAAGAAATACAACAAAGTTAGAAGGCAGAAAAAATTACTTTAGGATTATAGTTTGAAGGAGAGGGGGGAGTATAATCCAAAGAAAACAGTTTACTACATACTAATGTTTAATTAAGGAATGAGTAGAGAAAAGTCAGAAAAGTATCAAAAACAATAAGCTGTCCAAAAAAGAAAAGTGAGTGTGAAGAAACCATGCCTGGATTTGTAAGGTTGAATATGTAAAGCAGATTAAAAATACATATTCAAACATCTTAAATATCATTTAGATACAAAAAATTTTAATAAGTTAGGTCTGTCATTTTAAAAGTGAAATTGGGTATTCAATATCTATAGATATGATGGTTTGTAAACCCACATTGGATTTGATCAAATGAAAATATCCTCCAAATACCCATGTTTAAAAAGAAAAGAAAAGAAAAGAAAAATATGTGACGAACATTAGAATTATATATATATATATATACCTGCTGGCCTGAAACTTGTGTTTTTGTTGGCTTTTTTTTTTTTTCTCTGATTCGTTGGTTTTTTGAGACGATTGCAAATATGGAGAAGGTCTTAGCAAAATGGTGCAATCTGCAGAAAAGAAGACAATACGAGATGGTAAATGGAATGGTGTACTAAAATTTATAAGATGGTTGCTAGTTGCTAGAATCTCATTATAGAGTTGTCACTGAAAAAGAGAGAAGAAAAATACCTCAATATTTGGATCTATTTCTTGCGTCTGGGAAGTTAGAGAGGGTTGAGGGAGAGAACAGGATTGCAAGTGCATGATAAGAGAGAAGATGGATGGGTTGTTGGCTTAAATAGGGAGTTGTGGGGAATCACTTCATCCTTAATTAAGGCATAAAATAAAAAATG